GTAACAGTCTACTCATAGGATTGGCAATATTCAACCCAGTGATTTCAACGATCTTTGGGCTTCGTCATTTTATAGAACTAATTACAGCTGTCAATAGACGCAAAGGGCAACATCAAATGCAGAGCTCAACGCCAGCAAAAGTGAGCGACTGAAAGCACTGACATTTGTGGATGACCAATTTGCGATTACAAAGACGACCAAGTTGTGCAAATTTTTTCTCGTCCAAACAGAGTAAGACGTAGAAAAAGTAAAACAATCCCTAACTGCTATGCACACTGACTCAAAGATCTGCTCCAGAAATTAATTCACGGTTTAATTGCGGTTCAGGCCCAGTGTGCTCCAAAGCTTGCCGGGACAGCTTGCCTGATTGAAACAAGACTGATGATAATATAGCCGGCCGAAGCTGCGTTATGAAATCACCCACGGAAAATGGGGAACAAAATAAAAGGGCTAAATAGTGATAAAAACGCCATTTTGTCCTAACAGTCTCAAAAGAAAGATAATCTGCAATGCGTAGAGGTAGTTTGAACTCAATGAGTCGATGGATTAGAATGAATTTGACTTGAGAGATTAATCTAGTTATATTTGGCTGGTTTCACCCCAAGTAACGAAGGGTTGAGTCGTTCCGCTGCAAGTGACAAAGGTTGGGTGATTCCGCCTCAAGAAATTTCGGGACTTTGAAAACGTGACCGCTTATACGGTACCGCCTAATTAATAGTCCTCTTCACAGTTGTGGGCTTGGCGGCCAAGCTTTTGAACGGGAGTGAGGCTAAGGGTGACCCTGTTGTGATAGAGACCTGTATCTAGTTAGCATGATAAGAAAGAAATTTGCATATTTGAAAAGCAGCAACATCTCCATCATAACAGGGTCACCCTTAGCCTCACTCCTGTTCAAAGGCTTGGCCACCAAACCCACAACTGTAAAAAGGACTATTAAGTTCGACTGTAATAACAAAAAGAGTAGAAATGTTTCAAATGTACTTCTCGACACATCTGGCCTTAAAAACCAACCGCCTTAAGAGGCGATCTGAGTTTTTATTTTTATCGTTTTCATCATGAAGTATTCGATCGGCGGTTGACATTTTCAGAAATAAAAGCTGACGCTTCTCGATATTCTTCATCTTCTACTTCATTTTCCTGTTTCTCTTCAATTTAAGAGTACGGTATCCAAGACCTCAGGCACAGTTTTTCCAAGTGCGGACCTCCCGGCTGGTGAATAAAATACAACATTTTTTTTAATATACAAGGTGCAGTGCAATGCAAGGATTTCTGGCCCTGAGAAAAAGTCGTAACGATAATTTTTCACGTGTGTCGATGGATATCGCCAATCAGGTGCTGAAACGTCACTCGCCTTACGCATCACCCTGTCATGTTACTGATTGCATAACAAAGCCTCTAAAGCCTCGAAGTTTTCTCAATTTATGGCAGCTAAAACACTAAAAAATACATACCGCTCGCAGACAGCAAAGTTCAAAATTTCTTAAAAAGGAAAGAAAACCAAATACGAAAAGGTACGTACTCAATGGCTTTGGTAATGGCATTTCTCGCGGCTGAGAATGAAAATCGAGAACAGGAAGATTTGCCACCGGCCGATTTTGGCTGTGTACCTCAAACGATTTCTTCAATACAAAGTCGGTGAGGAAAAACGTTACTGACTGAGAATTTTGTAATCTGAAAGTTAAGCCTATTGTTTGTTTTTGTAATGATTCAAAGCACTTTTCCATCTTCAGCCTAAAATTTTTTCCTTTATTGATAAAGTCGACTTTTCTCGTCAATAGAGGACTCGTATGGTTATATAACAAAAACGATACAGCTTGCTTGTATAGTGTAGAATTTCTTTTCTCTTATTGAACTCGATATTTCCCTCCTTCGTTGCGCTCATTCGTGAGTTGAACACACGATGAGAAACTCCATATCTACACGCACCCATGTTTTATTCTTTATTCAGTTAACAGATAATGTAATAATCCAACGGAAATGTGATACAAGTCAGCGACTGAAGTCAGAGTAGTGGATCAGAATTCTACGCAAAAGTGCACGCGTAAACTGTATTCATGCAGACTGTTAATGGGAATGGAGGACCATCGCTGAAAAAATTAGACAAAACATTCTTGAGGGGGGACTGGGGTGGAATGTTTTGGTCTGTTGAGTTGACAAAAGTTGACAATGTAACGTCCGAAAAATGTCACTCATTTAAAGTACCATAGTCACACCTTTCAACTAATTTCCGCTTTCTTTACATTTACTACGACCCTACCTTTAAAAGTGTAGTAGAAAACCCGAAAAATTTTAATACTGTGGTCGATTCACATAATCTGTGCCGATGATGTTAAACACATGCAACTGACAGTGACGATAATACATGTCTTTTTCGAGTTATTACACATTGTGTTGTTACATTCTTCGTCATTTCGTGTTGAGAAGTTATACATCTTGCTTAGAATTCCTTTTACTAACACTTTGCGTGGATAGTTGACTTTTGCATTGATAAAGCATTTTGCGGCACTTGTTGTTACAATTTACGTAGGTTTTACATTTTGCGTTATAACTCGATCTCAAGATCGACCTGCTATAGATTTGTATTACACTAATCAAAAGTTTATATTTTCCCTGGACTTGAATTTAACTAAAATCTCTCTTTTTGCCGGGTTTTTATTTTCTTCTTCTTCTTCTTCTTTTTTTTTTTTTTTCTTTTTTTAACAAAACTCAAACTACTTACACTTTTGATAACTGTATGGCATAGCAATAGGCAAAAACAACGCTCTACAAGCGCCCGGGAAATTCAAAAGGCATGTCATCAATAATTTTGTCAACATTAGTGTTCGTTTCAAAGATCAGATCTCTTCTACTGCTGTCCGTAGACAATTAGGTAATCTTAGCCATCGGATTAGCTCTACCTTGCAGCCAATGTTTCTTCACGGTAGAAAACTAGAACAAGTCCCTAGGCCTAAGAAGCCAAGCTAACTATTGTGAATCAGGCATGCGTTGTTTATTATTTTTCGTGCCATCTATGCGATGCAGAAATATGTTGGCTTCATGGCCCGACACCTTTTTCAACGCGCTCCTGAACACAGGGATTAGGTAAGAAGCGATTTTATATCAATAAGGTTTGATTGCTTTGTAGTTGAAATGCTGTTTATCAACAAATTCAAATCGAAGTTGAACGTGCAAACGGATTAAACACGTGCAAAACGTTTTGTTTAGTTTTTCGCACTTTATTGTTTTGAAAAGTTTTTCATCAGTACCAATAGTTATTTTAGTCTTTAAATCTTCTTAAACTAGTCAATTTTTTTACGTGTTCTGTTAACGTCAAACGTCGTCGACTAGCCTTTTTTAGCTATAACTATAAAAACTACAGCAAGTTGTAACTGTGTTCTATGATCACGAATCGCTTAACTGAAGATAAGCAGAAGGTGGCGTGCAAGTTTGTGTGCGCACCAAAACAAGGTATAGCAAAAATGTCTACATGCAAATAATTCGAGCATGAACAGGTTCTATTGTAATTGCAGATTCTTGAACAGCGTCCCTATCATTCGATAGCAAGAACTCGCCTTTAATGAAAGACCATAAGCGGAAATAGAAACGTCCATCCTAACGGTGCGAAACAAATCGTGAACGAAAAGTTTTGAAAAAAAACTGCGTCATTGAACAAACGTAACTCTGAGAGCAAAGCAAAGCTATTTGATACGGTCGAATTGACTTGTTATTCACTAAGAGTAGTTTACACTCGACCGCCCTTCATTGCCTTTGTATCATTAGCATCAAAATAATTGCAAATATTAGAAATTTCGAGTCTTTTCTAAGGAGAAGTAAACTTAAGTGTTCAAAAAAAGGTGGCGAAGTTATTGACGGCCAAATTCAAGAATCTGGTGCCGAAAGAGAAAGTAGACAGAAAGATAGAAAGAGTTTTAGGATGCCTCTCTATCAGTCAGCTGTTTCTACTTACATGGGTGCATATTTCATTTCTTCTGTGGCCAAGATGCAGTAATCTTAGCCAAATTTAAAGGACCCCTTTTTCGTTTGCGCGTCCATAGCGATATAAGTTAGCTCATCAGTTATTTCGCAAACTACGAGCGCTTGTTGACATCTTCTGAATCATGATGGCCAATTGTTTTTAGTAGTTGCCCTAAGCATCCTACACACACTGACGACCGCACTGGACTTGAATTTTATAGTTTCTAATTAAAAGTTCATTCATAATTTTTTTTATGATAAATTACTTGAAAACTAAATTTGGAAATATTAAATATCCTGAGACAGTTAAAGATAGCGTCAATTGGCAGTTTCCTTTCGGTTAATCATACCAAGCCTGTGTTTTCGTTGTATAATTTATCACCGATTGCGGTCGTTCTAGCCCTCAATACTGTTGGCAAAGTACTCAAAAATTAAAATTTTTTTTTACGCAAAATAAAATGATTTCTTTAACGGTACGTTCCGTGACTTGTGGTTAGGCTTCGATATAAAGAAGCATTTTAAGGAATGCAAATGGGTGAAATTTGTTTACCACTCTAGTCTTAGTTGGCGCAGTCTCCATTTTCTTCTGCTTATCTCACATCAGAAACGAACAGAAATTAAGAGATGGCGCTGAAATGTTTCGAGAGATATCGTGTTTGTTAGGATACTAAGAACGGCATTTAATTGTTCTTGATTGTTCTTGCGAAGTCACCAGGGTAACCTTGGGTTTTTCTAAATCTTTTGTTTTTCAGGACATCTATTTTGCATAAATATCTTGAATAAACCTCAGCGTGGCGTGGCGAAGGTGTTAAACGTGAAAATGGAAAACAAAACAAGGCTAGCGGTAGTTTGGTTTAATTATCTGAGAAGTCGCTGTTCTTGGAGGTAAGATTCTATGATATTTGTGCAAGTATAAACATCTGTAGATCAGACCTTCAGTCAAAATCAAATAAGTCTTGTTAGTGCTCGATTTCACCATTATATAATCCTTTTTGCCAGCTTTTAAAAATAGCTGGAGGGAGTGCTCTTAGCTTCGTACAGTTCACTGTTCAATTGAACAGTTTTCTGTCTGAACATTTTCCCTAATTAGTGGAATTAACTAAGGTCTAAAGAACATTAAAAAGTAATAAGTTTCTGTACTATGATTATTTGATTCGACTGGCGTCTGGGCATTTCAAAGGACCATTCCTGTGACCATTCATGAATGATGGCGATCAAGCAATTGTTGGCAGCATAGTTTGTAGAGGAGAAAAAACTCTAGACAATTAATTTCTAAGACGTACATTTAGCTGACAATATTGGCATTAACTCATCCAAAATTGGTAAATATTGAATATATGGTGGTAACCGAGTACCCTTAGCTTTAAGCGCTTGTTGATATTAATCAACCAGTGTGATATTTAGTCTAATCAACTTGAACAGTCACTCTATAAAACGTACAGCATCAAATCATTACTTTCAATGTTTACTTAGTTTTATTTAATCTTTTTGTTACACAGTCGATTTTTATCTTGCCTACAAAAGGAGTTCATTCAAGGCCGCCAAATGGCGTGGACCGACTGGAATATAAAAGTTTTCGTGAAACAAAGGATCGTATATGCAGATTTATTTCTGCAAGAAAGAATTCAAGCGTAAAAAGGTCGTAATCCGATTGAAACGCTCAATGCTCTATCGCGTTTCAAAAGGTCGTTCTATTTCTCTAGCATTTGGTAGTAACGACGCATTTTGTACTAATCTTCGCATTCTATAACAGCGGTCGTGGTATTTTGTAATAACTTGCGCGTTTTGTAATAGCTATTGCAGCGTTTTGTATTAACGGCGAGCTACGCATTTTGTAGTAAGAGGTGCCGCATTACGTAACAATCGTCGGTCTACGCAATTTGTGACAACACCTAGACACAAATTGTAATAGGATCAAGTTTGTCACAAAGACATACGGAAGAACTAGAGAACAAATGACATTATTGTATTTGTGACGATGTATGACTACATTGGGCCTCCTTATTTGGGTATAACGATATTAAAGCGCTATAACTTTGATTCATGGTGTTAAGGGCGTTATAAGTATTACTTGCGTTACTTGAACACAAAGGTTTTAACCTCACTTCACTGAAATGGACATCTCAAGTGGTCGTTGCTCTGGGTATTTTCATCACTTCATAGATGGATTTAGTTGAGTTAACTTTGTATTATTAGCTGCATTAACTGTCCGATTAAAGGTGTCCGATCACAACACTACAGAATAATTAGTGAAAAATAAAGCAGCTAATACTCTAATCACATTTGAGGAAATTGCAATGGTTCTGATTGATAAATCAGTCTGATTTATCTTGCATAAATAGCTATTTTGGTCTTATTTTTTCTTCAGAAAATACTTCGGGATCCCACTGAAAGGCCTTGCATAAACGTGATTGCCATTCGTTACAAAATCTTTTGGCGGAGAAAATGAGTTAAACATGGCTCGACAATGTAGTTTTAATGGACGCAAAGAAGCCTTATAACTTGAGATCATTAGTTTCATTGCAGATTACGGGCAAAGCTTTTGTTTTATTTCGAGCGGTTTTATGCAAAGTTAACTACCTTTTCGGCTAAGTGTTTTTCCTTTTCCAATTCAGTGTAAGACATTTTGCTTCCCTCTGACACCTTAATGTTAATATCATTTAATCCTCTTCAGTTTTGTTTTTTGATGTACTTTACTTTCTCATTTTGATACTCATGTACTTGAATTAATTGGGTCACTCATAATAGTCCATTTTACAGTTGCGTGCTTGGTTGCCAAGCCTTTTTAAATGTAAGATGAATTAAACCAGAAAATTATTAAGTAAAAACTAAACCATTTTCAGATAAATGGCGTAGGCTTACAATTGCTAACTCCTGGCTTCCAAAGCTTAAACTTCCTGGCCAAAAAAAAACATACAGTAAAATATAGTTCCGTTCTTCATTTGAAAATAAAACGGTTTTTCACAATTTTTCCGTTTTATTTTTTTTTTTTCATGTAATCAGGAATTATTTCATAAAGTGGACTGAATTTTATAAGGAAATCGATTTTTTTGGATAGGGAAATTCTGGCTTTAGCTAGCAAGGAGGGTATGGTTTACCATGAAAGGTGTGGTTCACTTAGAAAAAGTTTAGTCTATACTGCAATCAACAGCGAACAGCGACGGGAAAAGTTTGCTGATTATTTAACAAAAAAATTATTAGGATCTTTAAGGAATATTAATTGATGTTTTGTTTGTTTTATCTTCTTAGATCGAGGGTATGAAAACATGGGAAGCCATCGATATAAGAAACTCTCCACCGATGAAGTTGAGGAATCAAGAGAATCGTTTTTGTCTTTTCTCTTCTTTCATCAGATGAGTTATGTTTTTAAGACAGGCAGTAAGCGAACTTTAGAAGAGAAGGACTTTTTACCTCTTTCAGAGGAACACACCTCTTTCTCAAACACCAAAAAGCTTCAAAAGAAATGGAACGATGAAATTTCAAAGAGTCAAGAAAGTGGTAGAAGACCGAAACTTTGGAAAAGCGTTTTAAAAACTATTTCTTTTCGGGAATTGACGATCATTATTTTTGCAGAAGCGTTAAATTTTCTGAACCGTATGATTCAGCCTCTACTTCTTGCATATCTGGTCTCGGCACTGTCTTCAGATGATCACCACTACACTCTTATTACGTACGGAGTTGCTATAGCAATGGGCCTTAGTCCTTTGATCGGGTCCTTTGGTTTCCATCACCGGGCATATTGCTGCGGACTGTTCGGCGTAAAAGTCAGTAGCGCTCTAAAAGGTCTTGTTTACATTAAGGTAAGCACATGGGGGGAATCATTTCTCAAATGAATGCACTTGTTTGTTTGAGTAATAAAAAGTGACCGGAATGTAAGGGAAAAAACAAAACAAAACAAAACAGAAGTGGATATCTGTATATCTTCCGAATCACGCGCTCGCACTTCCAGGATGCGCATTAGTAGCCTCCAATTGTAACAGACACATAGGTAGAGAGGGATAGCCGCGATGAGGAAGCGTTGAGTTGGAATGAATTACAACCCGCTTACTCTCTTAGGGCTATAAAATCCAGTTTAAGGTCGATTCTTCCCACTTTTGATTGCTAGAAAACTTTCTTCTTCTTCATAATCATGGATACTAATCTAATTGCTGGCTCGTATTTTTAGACGCTCCTTCTTAGCAAGGATACCTTGGTAAACGTTTCAACCGGTCGGGTGATTGACCTTATATCAAACGATGTTCAGAGGATGGGGGAGGCAGCGTTTTGGTTTTTTCCCTTAGCTTATGTATGGCTGGACATCGTCTTGGCTTCATTTATCCTTGCGATCTTTATTGGCTGGCAGGCTGTCATGGGAATGATTTTTTTATGTGTTCTTGTGCCATATTACGCCGAACTTTCTAGTATGAACGCTCTAATGCGCCAGAGAACCGCAGCGGAGACTGATGAGAGACTTTCCTTGATAACTGAAGTGGTTTCTGGGATCCGTGCTATTAAAGCATATGCGTGGGAAAATGGTTATAGGGAGAAAATACGGAGCAAAAGGAGGTAAGGGGATTGATTCAGTTTTCAGTAAAATCATAGAGAAAACTGCTTCCGACTTTAACTCTTGGTTCCAACTATATTCTAAATATCGATATTTACTAAAGCCGGAGTGCTAATAAATGCGAGTTCTGGAAAATGTTCTTACTTTGAAATAAAATACAGCCAGAAATTTTCATCTCTTGAATATACAGCACATCTTTGACCTACACTGGACACTTAAGGGATATCACTGAGGGTTGGTTGTCGATACTGACCAACCCTCAATCGTCGATGTAACATATTGTTAGCAACATTACAACACTCTTCGGCCACCATTCATCGGAAATCTCGCTTTTCTTAAATTGTGGCCCTCGCGGCCGAAACTTTCGAAAAAACTATAACGATAAATTAGGCAAGGTTTCTTTGAATTAACCGCAGGGTGTTTCTTTTTTCGACCAACATTTTTAGCAACGTTCCTGCGTCTGCTCATTCCGATCATATATCGTTTACCAATAAAAACCTTTGGGTCCGGCTGGTAATATTTAAATATACATTTTCTCTAACATCCATAAATCATTTGTATTAACATGGAACATACTTACGTTTTACCCTACAGAAAAGAAATTGGCATCATCCGTAGGAACACTTCAGTCCTGTCCTGTATTGCAACTCTGGAGTACACTTCTGCACCAATAGCGACCTTGCTGTCTATCATCTCTCTGATGTTAACTGGTCAGCCCCTCACGCCCAGCAGTGTCTTCCTGATCCTTTCTTACGTTAATATCCTCAAGCGTAGCGTCTGCTCTGAATTAGCCCAGGGTTTCTTGAAAACGTATGAAGCGTACGTCTCCCTAAGTAGGATAGAAGACTATCTTCTTTTAGAGAACCTGCCTTTAACTCCTCCTTACCGGTTGACCGAGAAGAAAGGGTATGTAGAAAGAAGCCCAGACATTCTAGAGAGCCCGAAAAATAATTTAGTTGATTTTACAGAAGCTACATATGATAAAAATACTAATAGCCGAAATGACAGTGAAAGACAGGAAAATTTGCGTGTGTCGAGTTTAACGCATGAACAAACGAAAAGGAAGGACACATTTATCTTACAAGATGTGGAATTCGACACTGTGTTAAAGAGTTTCACAGCGGTCACTGGACCCGTTGGCAGCGGAAAATCTACCCTTCTTTCGGCAATCGCTGGCGAGTTGTCAAATGTGAGTGGAACAATTTCTTTTAGTGGAACGTTCGTCTATGTACCCCAGACAGCTTGGGTTTTCTCTGGAACTGTTCGTGAAAATATTCTATTCGGTCAGCCATACGATGCAATCAGGTACGCTAGGACAACTGAGGTGTGCGCCCTTGATGAAGACATTCGGAAGTTTCCTAACGAGGACCAAACATATGTTGGTGAGCGCGGTGTCACCCTTAGTGGAGGTCAGCGTGCAAGGATTAGTTTGGCACGGGCAGTATACTTAGATGTAGATTTGTATTTGTTAGACGATCCTCTAAGTGCAGTGGATTTGAATGTTAGTCAACATATCATGAAAAATTGCATCAAGGGACTGCTAGGCAACAAAACACGATTGATAGCTGCTCACCAAGAGGAACACTTGAAAGAGGCCGACCAAGTGATTGCGCTGTATGAGGGTCGAGTTCTTGGAAAGGGTAAGTTTTTTGAGCTTCAAGAAAGAGGCATTCTCAATGGAAGCGATAGAACTGTGCACCACAAGGTTCCAAAAGAAATAAAGCTCGAGAGCGGTAACAATGAAAAGATCGTAAAGGGAGAGGATGGAATGGCACAACTAGTCAATGAGGAAAAGGATTTTGAGATTTCTGAAGAAGATCGAAACAGTGGAAATATGTCATCCAAGCTGTACTGGAACTACTTTAGAAGCGGGATTAGTACCTTATCGATCTTCGCAACAATTTGTTTCTTTCTCATTGCCCAAGGTAAGCCAGTTCAGTCAGTGTTGTCTTGTGTGTATTGCAGCTTTACACGTACTTCTGTTCTAGGTCAGAACATGTATTAGGATCGCGTAAATAAGTATATTTGATTTCTGAAAATATTACTGCACACCAATTTAGAATGTATGACATCAAAATATCTCGATTTCAGTTGCTTTCACTGTTCCTCCATTTTCAACATCATGCTAAATAAAAGTACTTAAAATTAAAGTAATCAAATGATTTTTTTCTGAGTTACTGAATCATTACTTTCTCTCCAGGAATTCTTGTGGCTCCTAATGTGTGGCTGGCGTTTTTGGTGAAGGAACCACCAGAAGAGCAGGGATACCAAAGCACACTTATCATTTATGGTTGCTTAGTCAGTGCTTCAGTCGTTTTTGTCTACGTAAGAGCAGCTGTGTTCTTTTTGGTGAGCTTGAGATGCTCTGAAAGACTTCATGACAAAATGGTGGTGGCTTTTCTACAAGCACCGATGTTGTTTTTTGATTCAAATCCCGAGGGTAGAATTCTCAACAGATTCTCCATGGACATCGGTTGCATAGACGAAATACTGCCTCCAAAGTTTCTTCTCTCAATACAATTGTTGTTGCTTCTTTTGACCACATTCATCTTACCAACTGTCGCAAATCCCTGGCTTCTGATTGTATTTATCCCGGTTGCTGTCCTGGTCTGTTTTATCACGAAATACTACCTAAAGACGTCTAGAGAACTGAAAAGACTAGAGGTAGCATCTCGTAGTCCAGTCTTGTCTCATTTAGCGGAGACTATGAATGGTCTGGATACTATTCGAACAAGAAGGAGGCAGAGAGCTTTCGAGGATAAGTTTTACAGGTGCACGCTTAATATCTTTTGGTTATATGTTTTAGGTTAACATCTTTCAGATATACCTATAAATCTTGTCAAGCAATGCAAAAATATCTTGCCCAAGTTTTGGGGTAGGAACCGCGTGGGGCGAAGTTTCCTATCAAGAGGAAGAAACAAATGAATATTAACAAATATTAAAACAATTTAGCATAAACAGAAAAGACAACTGAAACCAAAAATATAATAAATAAGAGACAAAAACCAAAATCCGATAATCACACTTGCAAAAATAACACTCCGTGGGTATAGATAGTAACAATGATAATAACAATAATAGTAATAATAATAATAATAATAGTAATAATAAATCCATTAATCATTTCAACTATTAGTAAAATTAATTTCATTCCGGTAAAAGTTAATTTTTTTTTGTTTTGCATGTTTTTCGTTTTTGTTTTTTTTTGGCGCGTTTCCAGATTCATGTTATAAATAAATCATCTCCAAGGTCGTTTGAATCAACATTGCCAAGCTGAGTAAGATTATTGGAGTCACTGAAAATTGATTCACATACGAAATAGTCAGTTTCTACAAAACTCCGTGCACACTAGGCACAGAGTGATATTGTTATTGCTATCATTAGTTTCATCATTATCATTGTCACCATAATTATCATAGTCACAAGTATAACTTGTATTTAACTTTTAAGCAATTGAAATGGCTTGCTACTAGGGGCTAACTTCATTAAAAACATTGTTTTCCCCAAAGACATCAAGATCTCCACAATCAGAGAAGTGTTATGTTTAAACAGGGTGCAAGATGGCTTGCTGTTCGCCTGAGTCTTCTGTCCTGCCTATTGGTGATTGTAGTGGCTATAGCGTCAATATTGATGTCACAGGACGCTGGTGAGTAAAATTTTTTCCCAGTTTTCGTCTGGCATGAACCAGGTGTCAAACTGGGTTCACGTTCCATTATTGTTTTCAATCACGTCTATCAATCACGGCATTCCATGTTGTATAAACGGCGTTCCTTAATAAAATAAAAGTTCTGAAGAAAAATTGATGTTATGTCTCGAATAATTTGCTACTTAGATGTTTGTCTTTGATATGTGAAAATAAGCGAGGTATAAACTGGAGAACGAGGAGACAACAACAAAAATAGCTGCGGCTAAAAAAAATAACAACAACAACAAAGGTATAAAGATATCATATAACGGTGCACCATAGTACCTCACAGGCTAATCTTGTCTCGTTACCTTATGGACGCAGGCGGATGACGGTCATAATGAAAATATAATGATAGTTAATTCATGTCTTAGATCTTTACTGCAATATTTCTTTAAGCTCGCGCATAATTTTGATTGCTGAAGGCATTAGATTCAATTCAAATGAAAATTGCAAGAAATTGTGTGCAATAGTCGTGTTTAGGTCCAGGGGTATCAGTGAATACAGCTGCAGGTTTTTCTTAATCTGAATGTGATAGTAATAAAAATCCTCCTTATATTATTTGGTGAGTTAACAACCTTGGACAGATGTTTAGGATTTTTCGTAAGAACGACACAATGTGACGTCCGGTTGCTTAAGTCAATTGGTCATCCTGATAATACTCTGGATTATTGACTAATGTTGCCTCTCTTTGGCTCAATTTTAGAAATGTTCTTTTATAGGATCCTTAGCTATAAATCTCAAAGCACTTTAGTTATTTCACGCTATTATGCATAGTATAACACCAAAAACTTGAAGCTTTAAGAAGGAAAAGCTAATCACTTCATAAAGACCAAAACAAAGTAGTTTAAGAACCAACTCCAAAATAAAAGGATATTTATTTCTGGAGAGACTCATGTGTCATTTCTTTTTGGCCTCATAGCTTTTGCAGGACTATCACTGGCTTACATCATCCAGGCTGTTGTCTTAACTCAAATCACCGTCAGAGAATTAGCAGATGTGGAGACTTTTATGGCGTCAGTCGAACAAGTTATGGCATATACCAAGCTAGATCCTGAACCTGGGTACAAACAGGAACAACTTCCACCGGCGCAATGGCCAAACGAAGGAAACATCACGCTCCAAGACTTTTCACTGACGTACTATCCTGGAGGTCCTCAAGTGCTGAAGGGCATCAATGTGTCCATCAAAGGTGGTACAAAGATCGGTGTAGCGGGTCGTACAGGAGCTGGGAAATCATCAATTGTAGCAGGCCTTATGCGCATGCCTGACCCAGACGGACAAGTGATCGTTGATGGCATTAAACTGAAAGATCTCAGCATTCAAGCAGCTAGAAGATTCATATCCGTCCTTGGCCAGAGCCCCGTCATCTTTGGTGGCCCTTTGCGGAAAAATCTTGATTTCGAAGAGCAATTCGAAGATGCTGATCTGTGGCGTGTGCTAGAGGATGTCCAGCTGAGAGACTTTGTAGAGAAACTCGATGGGCGACTGAATTATGAGTTGTTAGAACAAGGGTCAAATATTAGTGTCGGAGAACGGCAACTGATTTGTTTGGCCCGTGTGCTGCTTCAACGAAATCAAATCGTGATCCTGGATGAGCCTACTGCGAACGTGGATCCAGATACAGAAAAAACCATTTGGCAGGTAGTGCGCAAGATGCTTAAGAATTCCACAGTCATCATTATAGCACATCGCCTGCACACTATCCAGGATTGTGACAAGATTCTTGTTTTCCACGATGGCAATGTCTCCGAATATGACAGTTTGGATGAGGCCAGCAAGTACCTTGTATGAAATTTCCCAAGATTTGAGCATAAATATGTACGAGCACTTGGCCTTGGACATTATCTGCTCCGAGATGCTAACAGCCTTCCTGGAGCTTCGCTCTTGGAAAACTGTTGACATCTCGTGATAGATAATGCCAAGGACAAATCTCTACATCTCTTTGTCCAATAAGGCGCATAAGGCTTTGACATTCTCTTTCCATCCAGCCAGCTAAGGACAAATAAACGAGCATCTTTTCGTAGAAAATGGAGGCTATTGTATTTATTATTATTATTATTATCATTATTATTATTATTATTATTATCATTATTATTATTATTATCATAATTATTATTATTATTATTATCATTATTAATATTATTATTATTATTATTATTATTATTAAAACAGAAATATTTTTCTCAGCGATATTCTCTCCATAGCAGAAAAGTTGTTTGGAAAGACGAAAACACCACGGGCTTTCCGAACGAGTTTAATACAATTCAAAACTTCGTAGATACAACTTTCGTGTTTACTGAAGCTATCAATACTTCTTTCGAGATTTATTTCTTTCCTTATATTTAATAGAATTTCGTAATTGAGGAAAATCTTGCGTTCTGGCTGGTTAACGAAGCGAGGTATTTAGCACTGAATTGCGAGTTGAAAACGAGGCTAAGTGCGATATCGTTTCGCATCACTTGTTTCGCACTCAGTATAAAAAAACAATATTGATGCTGTTCTCTTTTTTCTTATTTTTCTTTAATTATGCGATTCAAGGAAATTCAATTACCTGACTCGTGAATTACCTCTTCCAGTGATGAATTTTCCTACATAATTCAATAAGTGAAGGTGTAGTCTGATCGTCCGGGTGAGTGTAGTCCTGAGATGGACTGTTGTCGGTGGTAGAGTCTGATGTTTCGACAACCTGTGCGGAAGTCATCATCAGAGTCAAGTGAATGATTGTTGTCAGTAGAATGTTCTTATTCCAGTTCGTGTGAAATGATCGGTTGGTTTTGCCGTGATGTTATTGGCTGTAAGACTCAAGTGACGTAAGTCGGCCGTGATTGGTCTGTTTCGATCTGTCGGTAAAGTTAGGTCGTTCTTTTTCGGTCTGACTATCACGACAAAATGGACGCACTAGTTAACGACAAACGAACCTACGAAGAACTCAAACGTGACCCAACTCCTGCACTTCAACGTAAACTCAACAGTCAACTACTGACACTCTAGAAAACGAACGCCTTTGACACCCAACGGTATTATCGACTGAGGTGCTCGCTACCACAGCCACCGAAACTCTACGGTTTGCCGAATCTACGCAAACCTGGTTTCCCGATGCGACCTATTGTTTCTTTTTGTGGCTCTCCCACATACCACCTATCCAAGTACCTGATGACAATAATACAACCGCTAACTGACAAATCCAGACATAAACTACAATCCACTGAGGACTTCATTAACGCTACCGAGACTGTTCAGATACCTGACGACTACAAACTAGTGTCTAATTGAGCTAACCTCCTCCCGGTTAGCTCGATTGGTTAGAGCGCCGGATTGTGATGTGCGGGAGGTCGAGGGTTTGAGCCCCGGCCGGACCAATACTCATGGTCTTAAAATAAGCGAGGAGAATTTGCTACCTTTCTATAATCAAGAAATGGATAGATATTCTAGTCTTCTCGGATAAGGACGATTAAACCGTAGGCCCCGTCTNTCGAACCACTGACCTCTGCGATACTAGTACAGCGCTCTACCAATTGAGCTAACAAGCCAACTGGGAGCAGGCCGTTAAGTTGATTCGTAATAAACCCGTGAAAGTGATAAATGAGATACAATGAAATATATGAAGTTCATATATTTTGTACTGCGGTATTAGATACATATGATGCACGATCCTCGCAGTAGATAGCGCTATTTAAGCAATAGCGAAAATCAGACCTGAAAAAAATCAGGCCTGTACGGGATTCGAACCACTGACCTCTGCGATACTAGTGCAGCGCTCTACCAATTGAGCTAACAAGCCAACTGGGAGCAGGCCGTTAAGTTGATTCGTAATAAACCCGTGAAAGTGATAAATGAGATACAATGAAATATATGAAGTTCATATATTTTGTACTGCGGTATTAGATACATATGATGCACGATCCTCGCAGTAGATAGCGCTATTTAAGCAATAGCGAAAATCAGACCTGAAAAAAATCAGGCCTGTACGGGATTCGAACCACTGACCTCTGCGATACTAGTGCAGCGCTCTACCAATTGAGCTAACAAGCCAACTGGGAGCAGGCCGTTAAGTTGATTCGTAATAAACCCGTGAAAGTGATAAATGAGATACAATGAAATATATGAAGTTCATATATTTTGTACTGCGGTATTAGATACATATGATGCACGATCCTCGCAGTAGATAGCGCTATTTAAGCAATAGCGAAAATCAGACCTGAAAAAAATCAGGCCTGTACGGGATTCGAACCACTGACCTCTGCGATACTAGTGCAGCGCTCTACCAATTGAGCTAACAAGCCAACTGGGAGCAGGCCGTTAAGTTGATTCGTAATAAACCCGTGAAAGTGATAAATGAGATACAATGAAATATATGAAGTTCATATATTTTGTACTGCGGTATTAGATACATATGATGCACGATCCTCGCAGTAGATAGCGCTATTTAAGCAATAGCGAAAATCAGACCTGAAAAAAATCAGGCCTGTACGGGATTCGAACCACTGACCTCTGCGATACTAGTGCAGCGCTCTACCAATTGAGCTAACAAGCCAACTGGGAGCAGGCCGTTAAGTTGATTCGTAATAAACCCGTGAAAGTGATAAATGAGATACAATGAAATATATGAAGTTCATATATTTTGTACTGCGGTATTAGATACATATGATGCACGATCCTCGCAGTAGATAGCGCTATTTAAGCAATAGCGAAAATCAGACCTGAAAAAAATCAGGCCTGTACGGGATTCGAACCACTGACCTCTGCGATACTAGTGCAGCGCTCTACCAATTGAGCTAACAAGCCAACTGGGAGCAGGCCGTTAAGTTGATTCGTAATAAACCCGTGAAAGTGATAAATGAGATACAATGAAATATATGAAGTTCATATATTTTGTACTGCGGTATAATGATTAAAACTATATAAAAACTAGTAGTAAAAAACTATAGTAAAAACTATATAATGATTTTTTTCAGGTCTGATTTTCGCTATCTACTGCGAGGATCGTGCATCATACGTATCTAATACCGCAGTACAAAATATATGAACTTCATATACTTTATTGTATCTAATGTATGTATGTCTGTATGTATGTAGTGTCATTTGATGTGAAATCACTGTTCACAAGTATTCCACTTCAGTTGGCATTACAATGCACTGAGACTGCAATCCGACAATCTACCGACCCACTACCGCTACCGACAGACGACATCATGGACTTGCTAAACATTTGCCTAACGTCTACTTACTTTCAGTACAACAGTAAACACTACAAACAGTTACACGGCACTGCCATGGGGTCTCCAGTCTCTGTTGTTATAGCAGAAATTGTGATGCAGAACATCGAGGATTGCGCCCTTTAATTTCGACTTGCCGACAAACGATACCGCTTTGGTTACATTAAGTTGACGACACATTCACCGCCGTTCGACACGACGAATTTGACACATTCCACTACCACCTTAACGAACAAAACACTGACATACAGTTTACCAGAGAAGTCGAAGAAAATGGAAAACTTCATTTTCTAGACTGCCTGATAAGCCACAACGACAACTCATTACGGACGACAGTTTACAGGAAACCGACACACACCCACATATTACTAGACGAGTCATCCTACAACCCTACATCACACAAAGCCACAACTATCAGAACTCTAACACGACGTGCACAACTAGCATGCGACTCGACAGACAGCATATCCGACGAGGACAAATACCTTCGCCGTGTTTTTACGAAGAACAACTACAACAACGACTTCATCCGACAAAACACCCACCGACCCACTACCAATACCGAAACAAACGACACCGTAACCCCCTACGACTACAGCAACCATACCGTACATAAAAGGCATGTCTGAAAACATCTCGCGCATCTTACTACCCTTCAATATCCGCGTCGCCCACAAACCCATCAACACACTACGCCAGTTACTAACCAACGTTAAAGACAAAGACGAACCGAGGAACAGACAGGGAACGATTTGTAAGATCAATTGTTCCGACTGCCAAGCCTCCTACATCGGTGAGACTGGCAAAAACCTCACAACAACACTGACTAAACACAGACGGGCGACGAGGAAAGGTAATGTCAGCAATCACATTGCTAACACCATCGACTTACCAACCATAACATTGACTGGGACTCTGCGCAATGCCTAACCTACAGCAATGACTATTTTCAACGACTGACTCTGGAAAGCTGGTTTACTAACTTAGAACAGACTCCCCCAAACAGATGTCAACAACTACCCGCTCCATACAAACGACTCATTCACGACATAAACATCACAAACGACCGAAAAAGAACGACCTAACTTTACCGACAGATCGAAACAGACCAATCACGACCGACTTACGTCACTTGAGTCTTACAGCCAATAACATCACGGCAAAACCAACCGATCATTTCACACGAACTGGAATAAGAACATTCTACTGACAACAATCATTCACTTGACTCTGATGATGACTTCCGCACAGGTTGTCGAAACGTCAGTCACTACCACCGACAACAGTCCTTCTCAGGACTACACTCACCCGGACGATCAGACTACACCTTCACATGTTACCCCCGGGTTCAAACCATTTACTGCA